GAATTGGTGCATTTTAAGTGTTTTTATTTATTTAGTGGTTCATTTATATAATTCTGCTTTTATTTCTAATCATGTCAGTTTCGGTCCTCCATACTGCAAGAAACCTCATCCATTCATTCATATCAGGTGTGTTGGAGCAGAGAAACAAGTAAAACACGCAGGGCTGCGGCCCTCCAGGACCAGGATTGCCCACCCCTGCTTTAAACTTTGGACAAAACAACTCATTTAGTAGAAACTTGGTTTCTGCAGAGATAAGCTGAGCTTTTACTTTAAACTTTAAATTAACTGGTGGTTATTATGCTAACAGACTGTGTGACATGTATATCCTCCAGTTACTAAAYGTCAAAGAAATCATCTTTTCTTAATACACACAATTTTACCCATTTTGTCACAAAACTGCAGATTTTCATTTGGCGTGAAGTGAAACAGGAAGTGTCATCATAGGGGAACTCTAAGAAAAATTCTGGTCTTTATTGAAACAATATTACATGAAGTCTGAATCTTCATTTCTCTGATAMAGAATAATCAAAAGAAACATTAGATTATTTGTTATTAGTCGTGATAACAACGTCCTGTTCACATGCAGACATTCCCCTTTGACATCACTTCCTGTTTCTGAACATGTAAATATCTCAACAACTGTTCATCTCAGCGGTGTGTATTTTTTTTTGAAATATATTATAAATGTTATCTTTCCAAAAATGCGTTTATATTCATTACAAAAGTGCAACGTTTGTGTTGTGAAGAAATGTGTTGTAAACTAACGTTTTGGTTACACCGAAGTTAAAAATACGTCACACAAAAGGAGAAATCATAAAATATAATAATTTGTACAGAACTTTTTAATCTGCCTCCACCTGAAAAGAAACCCAGAATTTGTGATTAAATGGAGTTCTGCAGAATGATTGTGAATAATCATCTTACCTGTTAAAGATAGCTCTTTGAATGACCTTGACTTGCAGAAACAGAGTTTGGTTCTGACTGAACCCAAGTAGTTCATGCAAAAAACAACATTTATTTTTTTACTTTTTACTTTGATTCCAGCAGAAATGTTTAACATGGCTGCTGGAAGTGCTACAACCAGCTGCTAGTGTTACTGTGCACATTAAAACAACCATAGAATTATGTAGAAGTGAAAAAATTAARGTGAAATAATAAATGAATCAAATGATTTGAGACTAAAAATGTTTTAAGATGGCAGAGGAGTCTTTAGCTCATCAGATCTGTCAGAATTAAACTTCTTTTTTCAAATTATTTTAGCTCAAAAAGCCATCTGCATCAGGTAAGATATTGTTTAATCATTGGATGTTTTAAATAATCAACCTGAAATGTAAAACCCAGCAGTTATTACTTGGCAAAATGTTTTTTTTTAGGTATTTCCTGTAAAATATCTGCAGCTGTAACTCAGTTTATTGGTGTGAAAGTCGTTTGTTGAGATTTTATATGCGTTTATAATAAACAGATTATATTCTTCTGGCTTGTTTCGGTGTCTTTTTCTGCTCGTAAAACAACAAACGCGGCAGGTTTTGATGCCGATCAGTTGGAGCAGGTTTTTAAAAGAAATCTTGGAGCGTTGCCAGGTCAGGTGGGGAGAAAAAAGGAAACATTTTAGCTCTACCTGCCAGAACATCCTGTACCTGATCAAAGGAGGTGTGTAGCCGAGCCACGGGAGCGTGACCAATCCAGACTGCAGATGAGTCCTGATACTCAGGCCTGCGCTCCTCCTCCTCCTGCTCCTCCTCCTCCTCCTCCAAACTAAAGCTTAAGACTAAACAGAGCTGCTGGCCTCGCTCCAACATGAACCTCTGCAGACGAGAAGGAAACCAGGAGAAATCAAGTCAGATTATCAGAAGAAGAAAACCAGAGACGTTAGAAAGGTCACAGACCTGCTGAATGAGTAGAGTCTCACCTGCACAACTAAKACACCTGGAAAACCAAAACACCTGGAAAACCAAAACACCTGCACAACTGAAACACCTGGAAAACTAACACACCTGCACAACTAAAACACCTGGAAAACCAAAACACCTGGAAAACTAAAACACCTGGAAAACTAACACACCTGCACAACTAAAACACCTGGAAAACTAACACACCTGCACAACTAAAACACCTGGAAAACTAACACACCTGCACAACTAAAACACCTGGAAAACCAAAACACCTGCACAACTAAAACACCTGGAAAACCAAAACACCTGCAC